AATATAAAATATAAAATATAAAATATAAAATATAAAATATGAAATATAAAATATGGAATATAAAATATAAAATATGAAATATAAAATATGGAATATAAAATATATAGTATATAGAGAGCTTTTAAACACGGCAGTTTTTAGCTCAAAGATGTATGCAATATGCTTTCTCTCAATTCTTCGATATTCGTTCAATATATACCCTGTAATCAGCTGCATTCAGGTAGTATACATTTGTACCTGAATTTCATGCTTTCCCTTTTGAACTGAAGGCTTTAGAGTAAAATGCGTAGACACAACTTTTGCATTTCGATAACATATTCCTACATTACATCTAAAGATCGATATGTGTATCGTTTATTCGAAAAGCTCAATCAATCGATGTTGTCTTCCTCTATATATAAGAGCTTATTGTTCTGCTCACTTTGCTTAGTCTTGTTCGATAGCTATCAACTATTTAGAGCAATCGATACGTATCGATTAATATTCAGCCGTTTTAGACCTCAAATCTGACAGTAAAATAAAGCTCTATATTTGTATACAACTCGATAAACATTGAGAGCTCAGAGATTTTTTACTTATATACATATGTCGATAGCTATCAACTATATTAACTATATATATATCGATTAATCGTTGCCTCAACTGCTTTCGGCTTTAATCTGAGAGTAAATGAATAGCTGTATATATTTAAACATATCGATAAACATCGATAGCTCAGAGGTTCTTTACGGTTATACATATTTTGATAGCTATCAACTATATCAGCCATATGTATCGATTAATCTTAGCCTCAACTATTTATGCATTAAGTCTGACTACAAATGAATAACTGTAGACTTTTACATAAATCGATAGACATCGATAGCTTAGACTTTTTCTTACGGATATACATATTTCACAGTTTTCTTTACCGCATACGTCTTAGTCCGTAGAACTGTTGATATACATACATATGTACGTATGTATAAATCGAATGTCCAAGAATCGATAAACATTGATAGTCATAAACTGTTTTTCAGGCATATTCCATAGACATTCTTTTGGAATTTGCAGAAAATATTCCTGTTATATCTAAAATATTATACTATATATAATATAAGATTCCTTAAGTCAGATAAATTGTTAAAAGAAAACTGAAATTCGCAGAGTTGAATCGCGTTAATGGCAGTTGCACTCCCTTTCCCTTTCTCCCTCACTCACTCACTCACTCTCTCACTCTCACTCTCTCACTCTCTCTCTTTGCAGAAACAACAACAGCAGCAGCAGCAGCAGCTGGTGGCGGGGCAGCGGAGCAGCCAATTGAGTCGGGATCGCGATAGGCTCAGAGATCGCGATCAGCGAACTGAAGATCGACCGCACAATGGCGCTGGCAGCAGCCGCAGCATTGCACAAGTGTCGCAGAAACGCGAACGCAATGCAGCGAGCAGTGCAGCCAGCGTTGCTTGTGCGGGTGGTGGCGCCGGTGGTGCAGCAACTGCAACTGCAACTGGTGATCAGCACACGGCGCTGATGGATGAATTTAAGCGCGCGCATCAGCGCATGTTTCGGAACGGGTTCCATGAGAGCGAGCACAAGGTGAGCTGGCCAAAAACTAATAGTTGTTGTTGCTAGTGGCTAGTTGTTGTTGCTGTTGTTGCTGTTGCTGCTGCTGCTGCTGCTGCTAGTTGCAACACACAGAGGCAAACCAGCAACAACAATGGCCACTTGCAAAGGTCAAGAGAGCTGCGGACTGCGGACTGCGGCACTTGCTGTTGATTGTGGATGGCTGATTGTAGTTAGCATAAGTAGTAGTTGTTGTTGTTGTTGTTGTTGTTGCTGCAGTTACTGGTGTTGCTGCTGGTGCTGCTATTCCAGTTGCTGATTGTTAGCCATGTGAAGTATTTGTTAGCCACTTGAGTGAAGTCAAGTGAATGAGGGCACAACAGCCAGTGTCTAAGACAACAGCAGAGATAGTGAGGGGGAGACAGAGAGAGGGAGAGAGAGAGATACCTACATATATGCAAAGAGAGAGAGGGATAGAGAGAGAGATACCTATAGATATAGATAGAAGTCAAGGCAAATAGAGAGAGAGA